CCAAGGGAAATGAGAAGGCCTCCAACCTGGCCTTGGAGGTTAGCAAAGGCTTTCCCAAGAAACATGAGAGGAGTGGATCAGGGATAAGGCTGTGAGAGAGAAATCACAGAACTTCAGGGTACTGAAAGTAGTCCACTTGGCCTAAATCTAGACTGTGAAGATGTTTTTAAGGACCAAAACTAAAAGTAGTAGAGGTAAATGTTTGTTTTATATTCCAGAAACCCTTTTCCTGTATTCATTTTCCTCTTCAAGCACAGAAATAGAAATATATTTGTCATTTCAATCATGATGTATTATATACCTATGCATAAGGCATTTATTCTTGTGAAGTTACTTACACACTAGAAGGAACTCTGTCTTCAGTTTCCCTCAACTTACCCTTTTTTATTTACTTACAAATAAAGATTTATGATGTATTATTCTCAGTGAGTTCCAACTTCATCTCAAATAAAATTATGTAATAGTAATAACACAATGGAATACATTGTCTCAGATCAATTTCCCCCCAGATGCCCTTAAACAATAAAGAATCACAGCACTTTAAGTGATCATAATATCATTATAAACACAACTGAGTCAGTACATGATTATTTGCAAATGAAAAATTAAAAATGATCCCAGTTACATAGAATATTAGTGTATTCCTTGTTCTCTGTTATTAAATATATAACTAACACACTAAAACCCAACATGAGAAAAGGAATGGGGAAGGAAAACTGTAGTTGTGAGGGGGACTGATGTTGGTTGAGAAACTGGAAATATATTTAACAGCTGCTGTGAGTAGGAAAATTTAAGAGAGATGTATAAGAAGGATCTTCATGGGCAATTATTTGATGTGGCTTCTGAATCCCTTAAGGATATATATTATTTTTAAAGATAAAAAGGCAATATGGTTTCCACGTATGAGAGAAGTAAAAAGTAACAGCAAAGAGAAACATGTTTACTATTATACTACCCATTTATTATAGAGCAAATGAGAACTCAATCACTTCTTAAAGGAACACAGAGCTACTTTAGAGGTTAAAGAGATTTTTAACTAAAAAGACATTACATGACATACCTTCCTGAAACATGGTGAAGCATACATATTTCTAAATTCGCATCTTTTAATAGGGAAGATCATACAAATTGAGAAAAATAAAGAATCTCATTGCCAAACTGAAAGAAAACTATTAAGAATGAGTTAGAAGAAAATAACCAACTAAAGTATTTCATTATTCATTAACAAATTTAAATATAAAACG